ATATTTTGTTGGGCGATTTTGCTTTGTTGAGGAGATATAGCTATTTTTCTAAAGTCATCTCAGTTAGCGCAGGCTACATATTCGTTAACTTATTCGAATTCAACACAATCATTCAGTCGGCAACGATAAAACCAACGCGATGATTAGCGATTAACAATTAGCGAAATCATCTAGCTACAGTCGATTAAATTTATGTGATATCGACTATTGGATTCACATTGTTTGGGTTCAATTTTGTCACTAAGTTGATTAAATGTTGTATTGTGAGTATGTCTTTCGTGAACTAAGATGAGATAAACCATTCGTCAGAATGTTTGCGCAGAAATGGAAAAGGTCTGCACAACTTAGAATAACATGAAAATCGGTTGACCTGCCCCTACAAAGAGAGCGAACACAGGTCGCAAGGTAATTGTGAGTATTTCAGAAATGGATCATGCCGTTGGCTTCATGATGGCGCCTCAGAACGAGATGTTCTATTTGGTTGCGTTGACAGTTTTCGTACTCTTCATTCTACTTCTACTCGCAATGTTTGGTGGATTTTGTGAGTTCCATGAAAATTGCAGATCGAAACATCAGATCAAATCTCCACGTCTTAATTATCAAGTAAAAGTTAATTGAGTGATTTGTTCGTTTAGGTGTTCATTTTCAACGACGTCTCCGTAAAGCAAAGTTGGAAAAAGCCGAATTGAGCCGCGAGATTGGCCTATCGGCTCTAGATCCTGCGGCACCGATCAATATCTCTGGAAATCCAATCTACGAACCATTCGGCCTATGCGCTGATTTACAGCACATCCCTCGACAAGCAGTCACGTTGAACAAGTGAGTCAATTGGTTTATCATTCCTAACCTTTAGTGACCCCAGCACATCTATGATAAATTAGTTGCACTGAGGACCAGATATACTTTGTGTTATGAGCGAATGAATGCAACGACGAGAAAACTTTGCAGAAATTCATGATTGATCCAGCTATTGATTCATTCTGATCGGAATTGTGACTGCTGTATGGAATGTAATTGAGGCTATTAATTCAGGCCACTAGGACAAGGCGCATTCGGCGAAGTCTACGAGGGAACTCTCTTAAGCAGCAGCGGTCATTTGGAGCGAGTCGCTGTGAAGACCCTACCGAAAAGTGCTACGAAACAGGCGATTAATGATTTCGAAATGGAAGCTCTCATTATGAGGTAATCACCGCTCACAGAGCTACCTATACTGACTGTTTGGAATTGCTTGGGCAAAGAAGATGAAAATCTTCACGATTTGAACATGACATTCTTTTTTCAAACATTCAAAGCATGCATGAATTGTTGAAAGGCACACATCTTACATACAGTTTTCTGGACCGAGTGTTTCTGTGTTGCTCAAAGTCTTCAAGATTACTGTTGTTGGTTTGGTGAACGGTTTATAAGTTTCAGCAAATTCCAACACGAAAACATCTGCGAGTTCAAAGGAGTTTGTTTTGATGTGATGCCTCGATTGATTGTTTTGGAACTGCTGGCTGGAGGCGATCTGAAAAGTTTTCTACGCGAATGTCGTCCCCGTAATGTAAGAATTTACTCTTATACTGGTGTCTTCATCAATTTCGATTGAGCAAATTGTTTGCTTCGTTGAGATATCTCAAACAATTTATCGAGCAATTAAATAAAGTTGGATTTACCTACAGGAGAACTTTCTTTCTATACATTTCACTGTTATTGTCATTACCACTGGTTTTATTGGGTGTCCTACGTGTTATACAATATCGCCTAACTTGAATTTCTAGAATACGGCTTATATTATAGAAATCATGAGTAATAAAGATTCTTTTGCATATCCTCCATTGTTTCAGACCAACGAGAATGCTATTGAAATGGTGGATTTGTTCGAAATGGCTCGTGATGTTGCGAAAGGTTGTAAATTTCTGGCTGATAATCGTTTCATTCATCGTGATATCGCCGCCCGAAACTGTCTTTTGACGAAGAAGGAAAAAGGACGCGTAGTGAAAATTGCTGATTTTGGAATGGCAAGAGATATTTATAGGTAAGTTGCTTTTACGCTAGGGGTTTAACGATGCTGTTGTTTATGAACCAATAACTCTTGACATTTCCAAATATTTCTAATCTTTTGCAAACATCTCGTTCTTTTCTCAGTTGATTTATTGAGTTTCATCGTTTGAAAATGAATTACACGCTTTTTCAGTCTTCTTCTGTGGTGTTTGAAATAATTTCCATACATTTGAAGAGAATATAAATAGATTCCTCATTATCTTATTCATATTGTCTATTTTGCTGCATATGATAATGAGTGATGAAATGAAGGAGCGATCCTATTTGTTACAAATATACGAAATGCTTGCTCGCTCGTTCGTTTACATTTGATCTGATAGATCAGTTGAGTCCGATTCTTATAGAGCCTAGTTATATAACTGAATCTACTTTGAGAACAGTATTTTTGGTTTGCTGAGATTTGGATCATTAACAATGATATTATGCATGCTTCGGACGGATTGTATCATTTGGATGGGTTACTTTACAGTCTTACTCCATAGATTAATCATTCTTTCTAGGCAAGACTACTATCGTAAGGGTGGGAAAGCCATGCTTCCAGTGAAGTGGATGCCTCCTGAGGCATTCCTTGACGGTATCTTCACGGTGAAAACTGACGTTTGGTCATTTGGTGTTCTCTTATGGGAGATCTTCTCGTTGGGTTATATGCCTTATCCGGGTCGAAATAATCAAGAAGTGAGTTCGAATCTTTTGATTAGGAATAATTTGAAAGTATTTCTTGGAATTTTAATTTTGATGTTGTTCATGAAATTCATGTTATTTCAATTATAAGGTTTTGTACGATTTGTACTCCAACTTAGCGTGTTTGAGTGAAACTATCAGGTGAAAGCTTCCGTATCAATTTCATGAACCTTGAATCAATGATTACAAGTAATGGCGGCTCAATAGTCAAACTGAATTGCTTATTTCAATAAAAATTTTCAGGTTATGTCACTAATCGTGAACGGCGGACGTTTGGAGCCTCCGAATGGTGTGCCGGATCAAGTTTATTCGTTNATGTTGGAATGCTGGAGTACTATTGATATTGATCGTCCGAAATTTGATGATATTATCGACAGAATAAATGCAATGATCAGGGTAAATGAAAATTCAGATTATCACTGGCTGAAACTTGATCAAATGATGATTACTGGCATCATGTCTCGTCTTGCATTCAACTGACATCTGCTCATCGAATATTCGACAGTTGGGGAGAATAGAAATTGTTGTAAATGAAATTATGCCCAAAATTGATAGAATCGCAAATTATCCCCAAATTGCAAATTATTCCCAAAATCGATAGAATTGTCGTATGCAGATGGTTCCAGTTTTCATAAGATTTAATGAAATATTGTCAGAGAAACAACGAAATAATTTGATTTCTCAGGATCCACTGCTACGTTCCTCACCGTTACCATCGATAACGCATCGTATGTCTCACTCTCAACTGCCCGTCAAAACAGTCCCATTGCCAGAGAGCCCCCTCTCGATGACGGACTCGATTCCACAGAGCACACAGTCTCAAGCTACTATTAACACTGTTGTCACATCATTCAGTGACAGCGCATATCCCTCATGTGATCCGATGCCTACTAAAGGTAACTGGACAACTCATTTCTCATTCTTTTATCAGTCGTTTGCTTTTCAGATCAATCGCTTTCGTATCAGATCACTTCACATGTTTAGGTGATCAGTGTTTGATTATTGTTCGCAAAATGCGAATGATTTTCAATCTCGGGATCGCGATTCAATCCCAATATCCTCTTTGATCCTAGGATCCAGCAATTTTTAGAGTATAGAAATATCACATGTTCAATATTTTTTTGAATAAATGCTATCAAATTAATTAGAAAACAATTTATTCAACAAATCATACCGATAATGTCATCTTAAAATCTGGCAGAAAACTGTCAACATTACTCTGCGATTACTTGATCACTACGACCCTGCTTCTCATCCTTTTTTGAGATTTTCAATTGAACTGCTATCCAAATTTGAGGAGATGGTATCAATTTCAACGTGTGCACACCGTATCAACCGCAATCAAGTGAACCCTTCTGTGCAGTTGATGACACAGCCACAGGTGTGCAGCAGCCACTGACTGCAAGCCTACTGCTTGACCCGTCTGGAACTGTCATTCCCTGGGAAACGGCAAATGATCTTGCCGTAACAAGTGATCATTTCACATTCAACGCAACTACAAGCGCATTTGAATGCCCAAATAATCGAACTTTGAATAAATCGCCAAGAAATTCGTTCGGGAACGAAACGCTCCCACTCAAAAGTGAAGCGCCTGGAAGTCGGCGACCGCTTATTGAAACGGTATTTTACTTATTGTCAATCGGCCGATTGGCCGGTCGTTAACTTTGCTGACCTGTTCTCGTTGGAAATTCTCATTTTCTCAAGGAAATTTATTGCTCAGGCATAATCATTGATAAGGAGTTTCTGTTTTGTTGGAAGCTGCCTTTTGTGTTGGAACCATTGATAGAGGAAACACATATAAAAGAAATTGATTAACTGAAATGAAGGAACTGAAATTTAGAAAACAAGTGAATCGTTCAGTCACACCTTTAGGAATTCTTACATTGTCAGCACTCTTGACCCTTCGACCTTCAGCTAGTCGGAGTTTTTTTTAGGAATCTCATTCAACAGCTTCC